AGCAGTGTATAATGGTTCCATTTTTTTCATATTCTTGCCAACATTCGTTACTATGTATTTTTTTATTATAGCCATCATATTGGATATGAAGTTGTATCTCATTATGGTTTTGATTTGCATTTCCCTAATGAATAATGGTATTGTATATTTTTATGTGCTTATTGGCCATTTGCTTATCTTCTTTGAAGAAATGTTTATTTAAATCCTGTGTTCATGGGGTGCCTGGGTGGCTCAGTCATTAAGCGTCTGCCTTCGGCTCAGGTCATGATCCCAGGGTGCTGGGATCGAGCCCCGCATCGGGCTCCCTACTCTTTGGAAAGCCTACTTCTCCCTCTCGCACTCCCCCTGCTTGTGTTCCCTCTCTCGCTGTCTCTCTCTCTCTGTCAAATAAAATCTTTAAAAGAAAAAAAAAAATAAATCCTGTGTTCATTACAAAAAAATTTTTTAATTGAGGTATAGTTGACATAAAATATTATACTAGTTTCAGGTGTACAACATAGTGATTTGACAATTATATACATTATGAAATGCTTACCATAAATATAATTAACTACCTGTCACCATACAAAGCTATTACAATATTGTTATTATTATTTTTAAAGATTTTATTTATTCATTTGAGACACAGAGATACAGGGAGAGAGAGAGAGATCATGAGCAGGGGGAGAGGCAGAGGTAGAGGGAGAAGCAGGCTCCCCGCTGAGCCAGGAGCCCGATGTGGGGCTCGATCCCAGGACCCTGAGATCATGCCCTGAGCCAAAGGCAGACACTTAATCATCTGAGCCACCCAGGCGCCCCAGCTATTACAATGTTATTGACTATATTCTCTATGCTGTACTTTTCATCCCTGTGACTTACTTTCTTTTATAACTGGCAGTTTGTACCTCTTAATCCCTTTTACCTATTTTGCCTAACCCCCATCCCCTCTCTGCCAGCCATGAGTTTGTTCTCTGTATTTATGAGTCTATTCCTATTTTTTGTTTGTTTTGTTTTTTAGATTCTACATATAAGTGAAATAACACGGTATTTGTCTTTTTCTATCTGACTTATTTCAGTTAGCATGATATCCCCTACATCCATCCATGTTGTTACAAATGGCAAGATTTCATTCCTTTTTTATGGCTGAGTAATATTTCACTGTGTATATGCACTACATCTTCTTTATCCATTCATCTATCAGTGGACACTTAGGTTGTTTTCATATCTTGGCTATTTTAAATAATGCTGCAATAAACATAGGAGTGCATATATTTTTTTAAATTAGTGTTTTTGTTTTCTTCAGGTAAGTCCTCAGAAGTAGAATTACTGGATCATATGGTATTTCTGTTATTTATTTATTTATTTATTTATTATTTTTATTTATTTTTTTTTTAAAGATTTTATTTATTTATTTGACGGACAGAGAGAGAGCACAAGTAGGCAGAGTGGCAGGCAGAGGGAGAGGGAGAAGCAGGCTCCTCACTGAGCAAGGAGCCCGATGTGGGACTCAATCCCAGGACCCTGGGATCATGAATTGAGCCAAAGGCAGATGCTTAACCAACTGAGACAACTGAGTTGTCCCTGGTATTTCTCATTTTTTGAGGAACCGCCCCATACTGTTTTCCACAGTGGCTGTACTAATTTGCATTCCTACCAATAGTGCATGAGAGTTCCCTTTTCTCTACATTTTCACCAATACTTGTCTCTTATCTTGTTGATACAAGCCTTTCTGACTAGTGTGAGGTAATATCTCGTTGTGGTTTTGATTTGCATTTCCCTGATGGTTAGTAATGTTGAACATCTTTTCATGTGTCTGTTGGCCATCTGTATGTCTTCTTTGGAAAAATAATTATTCAAGTCCTCTGCCCATTTTTAATGGTATTGTTTGGGTTTTTTGGTGTTGAGTTGTATGAGTTCTTTATATATTTTGGATATTAACCCCTCATTAGATGTATCATTTGCAAATATCTTCTCTCATTCAGTAGGTTGCCTTTTCATTTTGTTGATGGTTTCCTTCACTGTGCAAAAGCTTTTTATGATACAGTCCCAATTGTTTATTTTTGCTTTTGTTTCTGTTGCCTGAGGAGAGAACCAGAAAAATATTGCTAAGGTCATAAGAGTTTGCTGCCTATTTTCTTTGAGTTTTATGGTTTTAGGTCTTACTTTTAGGTCTTTAATCCATTTTGAGTTTATTTTTGTATATGGTATAAGAAAGAGGCCCAGTTTCTTTTTTTTTGCATGTAGCTATCCAGTTTTCCCAACATCATTTATTGAAGAGACAGTCTTCTCTATTATGTATTCTTGTCTCCTTTGTTATAGATTGACAGTATAAGCATGGGTTTATTCCTGGGCTTTCTATGCTGTTTCATTGGTCTGTGTGTCTTTTTTGTGCCAGTACCATACTGTTTGGTTAGCATAACCTTGAAGTATATTATAGGCCATTTGCTTATCTTCTTTGAAGAAACGTTCATTTAAATCTTGTGTTCATTTTTAAAATAGTTTTCTTTTTTTAGTGAGTTGTAAAAGTTCCTTGTATATTCTAGATGCAAGTTCCTTAAGAGAGATATCATTTGTAAATATTTTCTCCTGTTCTTTGAGTTGTCTTTTCACTTTCTTGATGGTGTCCTTTGAAGCACAGGAGTTTTAAATTTTGATGAATTCCTGTTTATTTTTTGTTGTTGTTGCTTGTGTTTTGGGGGTTGTGTTTAAGAAACTGTTGCCTAATCCAAACTAATGATTTTCCTCTATGATATCTTCTAAGACTTTTATAGTTTTAGCTTTTACATGTAGGACTTGGATCAGTTTTTTTTGTTTTTGAGGAAGAGAGAGACAGTGGCGGGGGGGGGG